TGGTTGTCAGAAAACACAGAGCTTGTTTAGTTGGATGGGGGGGGGGGGGAGGCAGTAGGGGGATGCACGCAGGGAGATACTGAGCGGGTGCAAAGCATTACTTGGATGATAACAAATCTCTTGAAACAAAACCTAAAATAGTGAGAGATTTGCCAGAAGTGGAACTGCTCATAAAAAACCTGTAAGGAAAATATCATTCCCACAAGAGCATTTCCAAGCTGGATTCTGCATCCTCAGAAATGCCAAAGCCATTTCACATGATCCAGCTGCATGAACATTTAAGCCGTAGCATGACATCCACTGACAGACCTGTCACAATAAAGACATCAACTAGATATGCAGTCACCAAGTCCCCTTACCCAACACCTTCTGAACTCTCGATGCGAATCGTTGAGGGGCAAAAACTTGAGATGCTATCTGATCCTTACTTTTGTCTCTCATGAAATGATACACGCTGGCAAGTTCTTTCTGACTGAAAGACTAGAGAGGAAAGTTTAGCAGAGGGTAATGACAAGATAAGGGTAAGACGTTTTGTTTTTTAATCTGATTGTGATTCTCTGCAATGAAATAAAAGCTCAACAAAGCATTTCATCTTCAATCACTGATTGGCTATTACATAGACCTTCTATTATATTAGATTTCAATCAAGATACATGTGATCTCAGTGGTCGAGTAGTTAAAGCATCTGCACCTGTGAAAGGGAGGTCACGGGTTCAAATCACAAGTGAGCAATTTCACAAAGATTTTTTTCAAAGGCTCACTGAAAGCAGCCAAAACTAAACTGAGAATATGAATCCTTGTTTAAAGAATAATATAAATTGCTTAAAAAAATTTATCAAATATTAAATAATGAAAGGTTTGCAGAAACACCATGTGCGAATAATTTCTCAACTAAGAGAATGGTTCTGAAAAGAACAAGAGGTATAAACTCAACGTTCCAGTCAGTATGCTCTGACCGTCTTCAGGAGAGAAGACGGTCAGAGCATACTGACCGGAACATCGAGTTTATAACTCTGGTTCTTTTCAGAACCATTCTCTTAGTTGAGAAATTATTCGCACATGGTGTTTCCGCAAACCTTTCATTATTTAGTATCTCCACCATGCAAAGCCTCCAATCTTACTTATCAAATATTCTAAGATTTAGGCCATCATAACTCATCTTTTAAAATGAAAACAAAAAAAATTGTTAATTAACTATGCGCCTCATCTGGATTTTCCTTTTCCTGTCCTCCAGAAGTTGTTGAACTTCCGCAAGAAATATGTCAAGTCTTATGGCACATGAATGTCATCAGAGGATGTTAGCCTCGGAAGAGGACAAGTCATAATTTGGTCCCGTCAAGTAAAGAGGGTGATGGCCTGGTCACCTCAAGTAAAGGGGGTGATGGCCTGGCCTGTGACAGAAAATGACTCTGCAGTGATTACTTCCATGGAACTTGTTTTATGCCTGGTGGACGCTTTCACTCTTCGCAATAATAAGACGTTGTCGACTGGCTGTCTGACCGATAACTGAGACACATTGTGAGACTGCTGGGGGGGGGGGGGGGGGGAGCGAGCCTAATCATAAAACTTGTTGTGGCCTGCTGTGAAATGAACCCATCATTGGGGTCATAGAAAGATTGATCTGTCAACAGCCGTGCCATGTAGTTAATATTTGGCTTCAAAATAAATCAATGTGACTTTTGGTGGCCCCTGGGCATTTCAACAATGTGGAGAAAAGGCATCAGGACAATTTTGTGTGGAAAAATCTAAGTGTTTGGCAATTTAAAACACTGTATAAATGTTATTTCTGTGCATACCAGGTTGAGCAAATGCATAAAGTAATTTGCATATTGTGAAGTGCTGTTTCTCTTTAATCTTTCTTTTTTCCCCCTTTAAATCTCTACATCCTTTATAATTATCAGCATTTAGACGATGTAACAGCAAACAAAGATGCATACTTTTTTTTCTCTTTAGGATGGGATGTTCACTAAACTTAATATGTTTCCACGTATTCAAGGGGAGACGTGTTGAATTTAAAAAAACACTATTAATAATTGCATACAGGTTTCCACTTGAAATTCTCCTTGCCCCCCCCCCAAAAAAACCCCCAACAATCTAACATGGTACCCGTACATTGTGATATAAAGAGTCACATAACAAGAAACCTTTTGAAGCTTTGATAAATCACTTTCCCCTTGGTCAGGCAGATATGAATTTTGAACAACAAAACAACCAGGCTCCTTTTTTTCATTCCCTTCCCAAATCTAATCAATCTTCAATTTAAAATATATTAATGTCACTACACACACAGTCATATAATTCTCCACATTATGGATTTTCTTTATTAACAACTCCGCTACGGTTCCTGGTGGCCAGGTTTTAAACTAATTTATCATCCATGAGCAAACATGATGAGAGGCGTACATAGCGTCTTACTGCCAGTTACATTGGCAACACTCAACTCAAAGTAAAACACACAAAAAACGCTCAAATGAATAGTGGAAATGAACCGACATGGCCAACATGCATGCCGAGTAGTGAGTTGGGTTGATATTAGTTAGTGTGCTCTTCTCATAATGGACTAACATTTACATGTACAGACTGTGGGAATTAGTTTTAAGACAGTCCAATGACAACATTTTCTCTTGCAAAGCTAATTCAATTCTCAGTCTACATGTTTCCCCAATCCCCACTAAAAAATCTAGTAACCCCGAAAAAAGTAAACATTAATTTCGTGTCTTTCTTTCCACTATCTCAAAACTCCCTTCTTGAAACATTATCTGGTTCCTTTGTCTCTATCCATTCATTCGGTCTCTCCTCCTCCCTCTGTACCAGGCTCTTCCATCTTACACACATCCACCCTCCTTCATTTGTGCAGATTTGTTATAATGCAAGGTGACTGGGTTAAGTTAACTCATAACTGCTTATAAATGAGTTTATGGATTATCTATGAAGAAGGGATTGATATTGAAAGGATTGGAAAAACTTCTGGTAGAGCGTCTTTAGAACAATGCTTTCTTCATACTGAAAATCCAAATCCCCTCCCAACTTTGTAGACCCCCCCCCCCCCCCCCCGCATTCCTCACTCCTGCGCTTCCTCGCTCCATTTGACACATTCAAACACTCTGAATGTACCCCAGTAAAATCTTACGTCAATTTCCCTCCATATGCCTCCACTATCACATGCAACACTCCTTACACAAACCCACGCACACCGTCCACCCCCCCCCCCCCAAGCACACCCTCACAAAACACACACGAAACTCCCCCACTTTCGCTCACACTTCCACTTCAACCAAGGGCAACATTTACCTGCAACACATAACTTGTTATTGTCTTTGGGAAGCACTCTAATCCATTGCGCCTCTGCTGAAATTAAAAAAGCCAATTTGGCAGACAACCCAACAGACGTGGTGGGGGGGGGGGTAGTTGTCTGGGTCCTAATCCTTTGATGGACTTCAGAGCAACAGAGATTACTTTATTCCAATTTGTGTTACTCCATGGAGGATGTGGTTTTATTCCTCCATGGTTATTCTGACCCATTTTAGCTATAACTGGCTCTGTGCACAGGGGGAAACCCAGCAGTATCACTATCAGCGCTACAGGAAGGCAACACCTCAAATTGCAACAGAGCTTACAAAATACACCTGAATCGCTTTGGGTTTGTCAAAGCTTGTTTCTACTCTCAGGCTGACGGCTTTTGGACACATACCCTGGAGGGAAAACCAGGGGTCACTTTCGGTCGTTGCATGACGCATGAGGTACGCAGCACATACATGTGGCAACCAACTTTGGTCAGGATACCGGTACTTAGTTAGTTTCACTTCATGTACATGTAGATCCACGTTTAGTTGACTTACTATATTACAAGTTTGGGACTGAAAAACGGTGAACAAATTAGCATGACACTAATGAGCAATAAGACAAGTTAGACTAAAAATCAATGCATTTCATAGCAGATTGTCCTTTAAAACAACAGGCATTTAAAATGAACCCTTAACTACCGGGGCATTTTCAACACTTAGACTAATGATCCAGTTTTGGTTTCATCTCCCTACTCTGAGGTAGAAAATGTACACGTAACTCTACAAGATCTGCAAAGTACCAGGTAAGGGACCTTAAAATCAGGTAGCTGGAACATGCAGCCATATAACCAGAGCTTAATCCTATAGGTTTGGTCAACGCATTTGTTAGGGTTCCTTGAGTAACATCAAAGTCTAAACCACATCACTAATACCGGTTAAAGACAATAATGTACAAATGACCTCTGAAACATCGATTATTAACGCATGAAAACTGATTATTTTAGCATTACAAAAACTGCGTATCTGCCTATTATGCTGTCCCCAACATACATGTACAAGCAATGTTGTATCTGTCATACAATTAATGTAAGCTTGCTGGCTCGAAATTTACCAGAACTTTACGTGTTTCCGTTTTGTAAAAAAAAATGTAACATTTCTATTGAAATCATTACAGTGTTATTATTCTACATTCTTATCCACATATACAACTTGAGAACACTTTGCACTAGAACTTAAAACCCAAACAAGGAGGTAAGTGTTATAAGCGAAGGCATTTTTTGAAGTCAGTTAATATAAATCATAAGCTGACAGCTTTAAATTTCTCTGATATAAAACTCTTTTTTTTTACAAGATTGTACATTAAAACAACTTTTTTTTTTCAATGAAAGCATTTACATGTACATTTTTACAATTTACAATTTACATATCTTATATGATAGACACTACTGCACTCTTCAAACCCAATTCCATATTTTGTGTATTTGACAAACCTGATCTACATATACAGTGAAATCTTGACAAGTCAAACCTCAAGGGAACAGGTTCAAAATTTGACATGAGCAGAGTTTTGAGTTAAGCAGGGTTGTATGTCATTGTTATACTATTGAATGCAATGCATTCTTTGTTTGACTTAACAGTTGTTTTGAGTTATCAGAGTTTGACTTATCGAGATTTCACATGTAAATGTAATATTGCACAGAAAATAAAGGATTTAAAAAAAAGTTTTTAACCACTCCTTCTTAAAAATGTGCTTCAAAATAACTATGCCATGGACATTCTAACGTAGAGTCTACAGATTGTGAGTTAATACTTTTTATGAATTTGTAATTTTATTATGGATTTAATATTGGAAGCATTGTAAGCCAAAGTGTGCGTTTTGGATTTTCCCCAATATTTCATATCACTCTACTACATGTTCATGTTTTAGAGAGAAAAGATGAAAATAATGATCTCTCATTAATTGTTCTCGGGCAGATGTCAGCCTTAAATCATTGTGACATGGATACATGTTCATCTCTGACGAAATATACCAGTAGATTGATGAAACTTGTGAAACACTGGGCTAGTTTAACCCTAAATCTTTAGGCATTTTTGCCAGGAATTTTCGCTAATCCCTCGTACTTCCCAGACTGTGCAGTAAACTGGTAATGGCACATTCTTTTTTTCATACATGTAACAAACATGAGATTTCAAGTCCATAAAACAATATATCATTCCTTCGCGAGAAATATAAATGTACAAACAACTGGTTTTCTCTTTTTGTTTCTTGGTTTTTTTCCCTTCTTTTTTTCAAAGTACACAAAAGCTTTGGTTCAGGGACAGGACATACAATTATACTTTAAGGTTGCACTTCAATGTGTGAAATTAAGAACTGTACATATTTACAAGGTCTGCAAAGTAATTGCTGGCAAAGTGGAAAGGTTGGCCATGGGTTTGGTCCAAAACCTCCTGTTTCAATTGACAGGCTCTTCACACTCACAAAATGAAAATTGTATGTGTAAAGATTGTCTGTGGTCAAGTCTCAAAACAAATTTCCAACATGAATGTTTTGAACAGAATTTTCACCTGAAGAGTAAGACAGAACTGTTAACTTGTTTAGAATCCATTCAAGGAATTAAATTCAGATGGAACAGGCTGGCCCCTATGCAAACAAAATGCACCAAATTAAAAAAAAAAGTCAAGTTTTTAGTCAAAGCCTCAAATTTTATACACATGTTATAAGGATCTTGATAGACAGGTACTTGTGGTCCCAGATTTTTGGTTTTATTTCTTCAGGTCTGAGACTTGCAAGGTTTAGGAATTGGTAGAACAATACCAAGCACAGATTTTTGGGCAAGTTACGTAATACTGTCAATATAGTGAGGAAACATTCTCAAACAGGTTTGCTACACAGAATGATGATTTTGTTTGTCATCAATAAACTTGTCAATATCTCTATGATTTTTTTTAACTTTAAAAACTTCAAAAGTTTGTGTGTTAATAAATTACTTGTTCTTTTTACATATAAAAAGCCACTTTAAGTGACTAGTTACAGATATATGATTTTATGTAAACTCTATAGGTAATATTTACATTACACCCACACTTTAAACTAATGAATAATTTACCTAAATCTACATATATTTACATATGATTTACACTGGGTCCTCTCTGGCACCCCGGTGCTGTCCAGTGTCTAGATGGACGTAGTATCCATTGTGAGGACGCAATCCTGTCGGATCGTTGCTGTTGGTAGACTTGAGGGAGTTGCGGGTACGGCGAGTGTGGAAGCTTGACGTTCGCATGCTGCTCTGGCGTGAGTACATAGTGTTGCGTGACCGCTTGCAGAAGATGAAGCCAATGTTCTTGCGGAAGTTTTCACCTACAAGTGTGTAGACGATGGGGTTAATGATGCTATGGGAGTACATGAGACTCCAGGTGACGACATAGACCATTGCTATGATGTTGTTGGTTTCCTCTAGGGTGCTAAGGACAAACTGAACCACGTAGAAGGGCAGAAAGCAGAGGATGAAGACAATGATGATACAGATGACCAGGATAGCAACCCGTCGAGCAGCTCGACGGCTACTGTTCTTAGAATCCTGCATTGGGTTCCTCAATAGCTGGTGAAGGATGAGGAGATAGCAGATACAGATAATAATGAGTGGAACGCAGAAGCCAATGATGATGGTGTAGATGTTCCACCATCGGTTATCGGCTGGGTTGTGACTGGATGAGACGCCAGCAAGACACAGGCATGAGCCATTTTGGCAGATATGCACAGTGTAGATCCACAGTGGCAGGGTGGACAGCATGGCTACCAGCCATATCACCGCACTGGTGATACGACCGTTCCGCAGCGTGCGGAAATTCATGGATTTGATGGGAAGGCAGATAGCAAAGTACCGGTCAATGCTCATGATCATGACAAAGTCGATGACCAGGAACTGGGTCATGGCATCGTAGGGCACGATGATCCGACACAGGAAGGCGCCGAACACCCAGCGGCCAGTCTTGAGCTGATGGCTGAGGAACAGGAAGGTCACCATAAAGAAGAAATCGGCCAATGCAAGATTCAAGATGAAATTGTTGGCTAGGGTTTTCATGTTGGGGAATCGGATCAGTATGACGATGATGAAGCCGTTACATAACAATCCCATGCTGCACAGGATGCACGTCACAATAAACATCACACGCTGCAGGTCCATGATAAAGTAGTCAGGAGTTGCCGGCTGGGAACTGTTTGACCCGTTCATAGCCATCACTGAACTCAATGCCTCAGTGTATCCTGTGGTAGTCAACATGATGCTTGATGTTTTCTCCGTAGCCATTCTGAGTACAAATCTTAGCAGCTTACTAGAGGTTAAATGTCTCTGCTGTCCAATTCTCCACTCAAATCTCACAGCTGTGCATATGTGAAGTAAGGACAGACGATGAACGTCATTACTGCGTACATAAACACCGCAAGTCTTTTCTGGTTGGGGTTTTGTCCTCTAAAGTCGATTGGCATATCAAAGGCTTAATTTCAGCAGACGGAGAAAACAAGTTTGGACATCTGAGTAAGGGCAGACTCAATTCTTTTGAAAATAATTCGGATCTCACGGGAACAATGAAAATGTCCACGTTCACTTACTGGAGACTACAGGTACATGTAATTGACTCGCCTCGGCTTTGCGCGTGTGGGTAATAGGTGTTTGTTAGTTTAGAGAGAGTTGGGATTAAGTGACACACTGATCCTTGAAATTGGACAGTGTCAGTGTTGCTCAGGTGCAGCGACTGTCAAACAGGTAGTCAATTATAAGCAGTTTCTGGCTGATCTCCGACAATGTAAAAAACAAAACCAAAAAACACTGATTGGTTGTTTTGTTCAAGACAAGTTTTTCATCCCAACTGTGACAGGGCTGAGTTGGACACTGAAAATGCCCCCGACTGTTCAGTCAATTCGGTGGACAGCACTTACCATCACAGCAGACAAAGTGAGCAAGTGTAGGCCATAATTGCGATAATTGCAGCCATTTCCGCTATGTTTGAAAACCTTGGGTTAATGGGTCCTGACGATATCTAATTTTTGTTCTCCTGATCACGCTCGTCAAACTATTCTCTCAAATTTCCACTTGCAGGGTAAATATGGTCCAGAGAAAATACTTCAGCTTTTCCAAAAATAGCCGTGGACTGTCTGCTGTTGACGATGGTAACTTCCAGCCAGAAAAAAAAGAATAAAATGAGAAACTCTTTGAAATTTTTCATCAAACTCTCATCAATTTCTCAAAAGGAGTCCATTTGGCTGGTTTCGATGGACAGCGATGAAAGCGATTTCATTAGTGTCTATTTGCACAGTTGCGTGAGGGAAATGCTGTTGCGTGCTTGGCAAACGAGAGACGGATGGACAATATACTCACGTTCACTTCAGTGTTCTGGGTGATTTTGATGGCACAAAGATGAACACAGTGGGGTTATATTGTCCGTGACTGAGCAACGGTAGAGGATTCGACCTTTACCTTCAATGACAAATATTGATTGACTAATTTGTCAATGGGGTCCATGTAAATTACTGCATTGCTAAAACCACGTCTATCAATGAAACAGAGAGGTTGGATCAAGTTGGCTGTCTGTACCACAGGGTGAACTATGTTGGGTCTCAGCATTCAGCGACAGTAGTTGGTCTCTGGATGCAAACGTTTCTTTCAAATGAGCCAATGGCAAAGTTACATGCGGTTTGATAAACAAAACTGGCAACAGGATTGCGACAAACTGCTTGAGGGCCAAGCATCAAAGCAAAGGCTTTATACTGGATCAGTTGTATGGGTTATGACTCGACACTGAAAGCAGTGAAGTCTAAATGGCCCTCCCTCGGAGAACCGTCCAAACACCAGCGGGTAGGCCAATGAAACCTTACAATCCCCGGTGATGTAAATACAATCTGAAAGGAGACACACGATCTCTCGCTCGCAGGGTGCCGTTTCCAGTGAACGGGAGGAAACACTCCACGGGTTGCGGCCGGTACTGTGTTTCTACAGCAAATGTTCAGCCAGACTACTTCACAGCTTGGCTGGATGATCTCCCACCGAGGTGGTGTCTTGGACACAGGTTCATCAGAGACAACAGTCGGGATTGTATTACAGTTCTTTTTTTTCTGAAGCAGAAAGGATAGAAGGCTTACCAGTGTGGGTAAGTGATCGCAGGATGACGGTGGTGTTATTGTTGGGTCGATTTATGGATGAAAAACATGTTCTTAATCAGGAAAGTATCCTGACTCCATGTGGCGTGGTTCGTCGGAAAGCGTGGGTTGGAGACTCGTCCGTCCTGCTGTGCACAGTTCCTTACTCAGTGCTTCACGCCGACAAATGTAGAAGATTCCTGATAAAAGTGATATCTTATGGATTTGTCTCATAGATTATGTTCAGTCTGGTGGCAGATGGGTGGGCATGATCATGATGAAAACCATTCACTTCATTTTACTCTCATGACTATGTGTCGTTCCAGTCCACAGATTTTTGTTTCTTTTAGATGATTTGAAAGTCACTGTGAGTCTTTCGAGCAAATGCAATCATCTACTGATGTTGCTAGCACAGCAGTATTAACACGATGTGATGCAGTCCATGTCACATCAACGTCAGACTGTTGCGATGAAACGTCCAGTGCCAACAAAAAGCTCAATACAATCAAACTTGATGGTGAAACAAATGAAGATGACAATGTTTCCTGTGCTAGAGTCCGAAAAAAACTTGGTTTCAGTAATCTGATGACATGAGATGCCTGCTGATACTCAGACCTCTTCTTCTCGTTGCAAAGTTCTCAGCATTTGTGCAGCTATTCACTTCACCAACAAGAAAGCTGTGTAACACTCTCTGTGTGCCTCAGCCTTTTACTGAATGAAACAAAAACAGCATCTTCTTCGGTGGTGTTGGCTGGCAGGCACCAACTTATACCACAATGAGTGAGTGAATGCATGCAACATGCAAGAGCTCTCCCCTATATACATACAGGGCTCATCAAGCCTGCCCTCACTTGACTGGACATGGGAGAGCCGGCTGAGGGAGGCAGGGCTTGAGAAAGTTAATATGCAAATTGCGTGTCACTGCTATGGGGTGATCGATTGTTGAAACAGGGGTGTCCAGTGGTGGACGGGTGAAAAATACACATAAACCAGAATGGGAAAGTGTAAGGAATGTAGTCACTGGTGGAAATGCTTCAGTCTGAATACATTCCATGTGAATCTACCAATCACAATACATCAAGGTACAACCAATGGTTCTCAAGGAGTCTGTCTGGAAGTTCTACTTTGCCAGAATGTGCAAAACTTTTGAGAGATTTTGAGTTCAATCTTAAATTACACATCATCACACTACCACAAATAAAAATGTACATAAGGCTAATTACACGTACAATGTATCTACTTATACAAATTAGTTGTCATCAGAAGAAAATGTTTATGATTCTGAGAAATCTTGTTTATGTGACATTTAAATCCTCACTTTTTAAAAACGACCTAGTTTGACTGAGATGCATACAAATCCTTTTTTTCTACACAATATAATATATTAGTCTGGTAATACAGGGTGAGTAAAAAAAAAGCAGAACCCAAACCCCCAAAAATATTTCATATTTTAACAAATATGAAGCACCAAAAATAATAATGACTGGAACAACTATTTCATAAGCAACTTTAGGATGAAAAAAATTACTGAAATCGCTCAATACGTTAAAAAAATATCACCATTTAAACACAATGATCCTAAAACCTGTGTCGTCCAAAAACAGCAATTTATTGAGTGTTTTGACTGTTTGGAACAGAATACTTGTTTCAACAACTGTCAACAACTGTAGTACACAATATCGTTATTAACAACCCTGGTTTTGGCAAACAATATGATTTATAAAATCCACTTTTTTGAAAGACGAGCCTTCAAAAGGACTTTGTGGAATATTTTTAACTTTTAAACTGAGTTTTTATCGTTGGTGATGTTTGAAGACAATTGTGACGACGATTCTTGAAATCGCATTTTTGGACAAGACAGGTTTTAGGGTCATTGTGTTTAAATGGTGATATTCTTTGAAAGGATTGAGCAATTTAAGTCATTTTTTCATCTTAAAGTAGCTTATAAAATTGGCTTTCCAGTCATTATTATGTTCAATTGTTTTTCAAAATATGAAGTATAGTTTTTGGGGTTTAGGTTCTGCTTTGTTTGACTCAACCTGTATTTTTTCAACTCCTGTCAGCATCAACTTCAATAATGCCTTCCAAATGAGAAAACCTTTACAACTGTATTCACAAACTTCAGTGGATTACAGTTACACTTCTCACATTGAACAATATCTAATGACAGACTCTCAAACAAGTGCTTTACAGGTGTTCTACAACTCGGCCAAACAATCATCCAATGTCAAGAGGCAATCTTGAACCTGGAACCAAAGCAATTCAGCACGGTGTCTCGCAACACCTTCTTATCAACCCAAAACATCTCAGCTCGTTCTTCACCACGGGGAACTTTTGGGGTTCATCCTGACAGTACAGAGCAAGATTATCTCCCCAGGATATTGGACTTAACGATAGCCCAATCACATTGCAGGACTTTGTGGGATCTACAGACTAACACTTGTAGTAATTCTCAGATCCTCTAGATGAAGATGGGGAGAATGACAAGCCTTGGAGGATAAATAGGGTTCATATCTCTTTTCTACTACAACAAGGGAATAAAGAAGAAAGAATACAGATATCGCAGTTCTCGAGGATCGACAAGGAAAGGTCAGTATTGGACAAACATTTAAGATTTGAGTGGTGAAAATGGAAAATTAATTCTTCTGTAGAAAAAGCAACAATAGTTCAGTCGGAAAAGGGGGGTATCGTGCACCCTCGGAAATCAATTTCTAATCAACGTTTCTAGGTTAGAAAAAATGCGTAGAAAACGATTTGCTATGTTAAAAAATTCAAAAAATGTCCCACGTATTGTTTTTATGCAAATTAGTGCCGCCATTACCGAAAAATCTATTTGTAACTATATCTCAGCCAATATTGCAGATAACTGAACGAACTAGGTGTCTAAACCCATGTTTTCAAGGTCGGAGATCACAATAAAACTATTCTGGAAGTGACCACATGTGTCTGTGGCATAGGAATATGCAAATTAGTGCCGCAAATACCGGAAAGTCATGTTTTTGGCATATCTCGCCAATATAGCACATAACTACACCAGTAAGGTGTCTAAACCCATGTTTTGAGGGTCTAGTATCATTAGAAGACCATTCACGAAGTACCTATGTGTGTCTTTGGCATGAAAATATGTAAATAATAAAGTGTCGGTTTATCCGCTATTTGATTTTTAGCCAATATCTCGGCCAATATTGCACTTAACTACACAAGTAAGGTGTCTAAACCCATGTTTTGATGGTCAGGTATCATTAGAAAACCATTCACGAAGTAACTATGTGTGTCTCTGGCAGGTAAATATGTAAATTCTAAAGTGTCGATTTATCAGAAATTTGATTTTTAGCCAATATCTCGGCCAATATTGCAGCTAATGTTGACAGAAGGGTTTTTGATAAGCAATAATGATCAAAGTTTATTTTAAGCCATCATATTCAAAATAAACTGTAATATTGGCTGAAATTGAATATAATTTGGCGGAAAATCATTTTTTTGATAAACCGGCAATTTAGAATTTACATATTTTCATGCCAAAGACACACATAGTTACTTCGTGAATGGTCTTCTAATGATACCTGACCCTCAAAACATGGGTTTAGACACCTTACTTGTGTAGTTAAGTGCAATATTGGCCGAGATATTGGCTAAAAATCAAAGAGCGGATAAACCGACACTTTATTATTTACATATTTTCATGCCAAAGACACACATAGTTACTTCGTGAATAGTCTTCTAATGATACTTGACCCTCAAAACATGGATTTAGACACCTTACTGGTGTAGTTATGTGCTATATTGGCCGAGATATGCCAAAAACATGACTTTCCGGTATTAGCGGCACTAATTTGCATATTCCTATGCCACAGACACATATGGTCACTTCCAGAATAGTTTTATTGTGATCTCCGACCTTAAAAACATGGGTTTAGACACCTAGTTCGTTCAGTTATCTGCAATATTGGCTGAGATATAATTAAAAATAGATTTTTCGGTAATGGCGGCACTAATTTGCATAAAAACAATACGTGGGACATTTTTTGAATTTTTTAACATAGCAAATCGTTTTCTACGCATTTTTTCTTACCTAGAAACGTTGATTAGAAATTGATTTCCGAGGGTGCACGATACCCCCTTTTCCGACTAAACTACAAGTTTGCAAGAGAAATGTTGGAGTCGGCTGCTTGCAAAATGGTGATATAAGTATAGAGCCCTTCATACCCATCTCAAGAGTGTCCCTCCTATCAATTCTCTTCCAATCACCCCAGCCTCAACAAACCACCTCATCCCTCTTTCTGTCCAGACTTACAGAAACTTTCTGAGGGCAGAGAAGCTGAGGTTTGTTTTCTCAGCTCTGGCGAGAGGAAAATTGGACAACAGAACCAGGGTGTTTAATTCAGGGGATGACATTTTGTTAGCATTTAACCACCTGGTCCATTTATCAGCTTTTTATTGATTGAACTAACATCCCCGGGGTCACTGACATTTCTCAACCAAGATGTCCAAAACTGACAATTCTTGTTGTCTGCCACTTGCGAATTAGTCCAGACTTTGACCGAAAAACACATCAATAAGGATCCCTTATATAATCAACTTGCCAGACAATTTATCGTCGCACACAAACAGCAGGTTAATACTTTTGTTGTTGAGAAGAGGTGAGGTTGTATCGAGGAGGACATTTGGTTTCACTTTTCTCTTTCTATGCTAATCTTGTGATCTATCACAACTGCCATTTTGGAAAATTGGCCTGGGATTTACAAGCTAACATCAAGCAGGAAAAAACGAGTAGGTACACAGAGTGATTTATAAAAAATGACACCAAATAGCCTGGCTAGAGGGCCCATTAATATTCTGTCTGTGCAGTATTCATTCCAGCACAGGTAATACTTGAACTACCGTACTCACTGATCCTCTTCAGACATTCTTCCATTTAGCTTAAATGGGTGTCTTTCTTCAAAACAAAACTTCCGTGGTTTTCCTCTTGCTAACAAAACTGATATTTTCTTTGTTTATCATCTCTCACACGATTCCTGGCTTATTGACAAATTTACAATGTTTATTTTCACCTTTCCAGGGACTTTTTTGGTCACTGTGAAAAGATAAATAAATGAAGAGACTGATAAACAAACGTTTGGAAGTGTAGACACATGTGCATATCACACATCCCCCCATAAAAATAAAAATAAAAGGCTAGAAGCCGACAGAGAACTGCCATCTAGCTGTAATCCAATAGCCTGGGCAGAGTGCTATCAGCCATTCCATAATTGGTATTTAATTAAAATCCCATCCAACCCTCCAATATCCATCTCCCAGTATTCACTTTAGAGAAGGGGGCAACAGAGCATAAGACCGATGAAATATTACCGGCCAAATTGCAGGCGTCCTTGCTTGAAACAAACCTGAATGGAGAGAGTGCGGTTACTACCGGCAGCATACCGCCCAAAAACTTTTCAATAATTAATTGGGATTTGTGCATCGTGTATACGTGCGGCACATGTACATGCCAGCCTAGCTGTGATATTAATCCAATCGGAGGGATCATATTTCATTCTGTGCCAAACAAATGCTTGTTTTCATTTGGGGAGCAGAGGCGGGAGGCTTTAATTGAAAGGGTGATTTAAAGAGTAACGACAGAGGCGGTACAGTGTACTGTCCCCTCGCTTGAAAAAATCATGTAGGTACCGGTAAATGTACAAAGCAAATAATGAATGGAAAAGGGCAGAGTTCTGGTGAGGGATTACACAGGATGTTGAGTTTACATTGGTTTGTGGCTAACACTCTTTTTAAATAAACACTGTATACAGCGAAGGAGGGTAGGGCAATGAAAAAGAATAGGGAAAAAAAGGAAACTACAAGGGAAAAAATAAAAGTTTCAAATAATTACATAAACAACATTTGGTGGTTTTTTTAGGAGGGAGGGAATGTTTTCATCAAAATTGAATATGTTAACATTTACTATTATTTTGTTACAGTTTTGCTTAAACTGTTTTTGTGTATTTAGAGTAAAAAAAAAATATCAAATAAT